TTTTGTCTATATTTTTAACTTCGCGTTACGTAATATATAGACGATCCTAAAAGAAAAAACTTGAAACTAAAAAGATTTTATTTATTACAATATTTGAACAAACAAGGGACAATCTAAAGGATTATATCTTTAAATAGCAAATTATCAATGGCAGTATTAAAAAATATGCAAGAGCTCAGTAATTACATGAGTTTAATCTATTCTCTCTCTATACTAATTCTTATTTAAGTCTCATCTAAGAGAGAGAGGAAGTGTTTTAAAAACAGCATGTTAGAAAAAGTAAAAAATTCATGCAATAAATAACAGTAACTAGTTTTATTATGCTACCAATAAACAAAATTGTTTTTACCTTAACTAAAAATTAATTTCTAGCATTTCTTAATTAAGTTCCAGCTTCTCTTTAACTGTTGACAAATGATTAATATTGTAAATTTCACATCATTAAATTTACAAAATTAAAACCATGTTTCAACAGTAAGCAAAATAATCAAGTGATGACAAAGACAACTAAAAAAAATGAACACAATTATGTTTAAGACTACAAAAAAAAAATTAAAATCATTAAAAATTGTTACTGTTACTATAAATAGTAAAATTCATACTTTAAAATTAAAATATTAAAAATAGTAAAATTCATACTTTAAAATTCATATTTTAAAGTGTCTAATGTAAAATCAAATAATAGACATCAACACCGCTTAAGACTGAATTCTGGCAAAAAAGTTTTCTGTTCATCAAGCAAAATTTCTTATATTTCAACAACAATTAATTTTATCACGCCTAGATCTATTTCTTTCATATGACAACAATTTCAAGTCACCTATAACCATTTACACTAATAAATTCTTCGAGCCTAATATTATACATCTGTTATCATTAAATATATTACCAGTGATTATACTACTGTTACAACTGAATAAATGAGCATTTTATATTTTTACAACTGAAAAATACAAAACAAAATTTTTGACATTATTTTAATTTAGCAAAGAATTTAGACTACAATGCAAATTTATTTTTACCTTCAGGCACAATCTTAATGCACAAAAATAATAAACACAGAATCTTGTATAAAAAATGAAGCAATGTCAGTCTAAAATAATACATATATGAATGTATATATATTCAAATTTTTTCTATTCTTTTTAATTTTTTCTATGAGATAATATTTATATAGATTCAGAGAAATATAAAATATTCTGATATATAGGCACATTTATGTATATAAACTTACCTGTCAAAAATTACAGTCAGTTTTCCATGTTAAATACATAAAATATATGTCTAATATAAAATAAAACAAAACATTAAACTTACTCAAATCAGTAACAGTTCGACTGTCTAAATATTTTTATTATTAATTTTCTATTTAAAAAAAGAAACAAATGATTTGAAGTGTCTAAAAAGCACATTAGCTCTTTCCAATTACACTAAAAAATAAAATAAATCTTGCTTTGCTAAGTTGCCTAGTTCTTAAGAATCTGAAAACAAATAAGTAAAAAACAAAGAACAAACAAACATTTTTTTATTAAAACTACTCTATTTGAAAAAATTAAATTAAACAGAGATTAATTCTATTTAAAAGCTGAAAAACTTTTCAGCTCAAATTTGCTTGCAGACCTTGCTTGTAAAACCACTTAAATAAGAAAAGCATCAAAAAAGCCTAGAAGCTACTTAAAAATGGTATATGTAACATTGAACTTTGAATGTTGACTGGAGTAGATATATATATTTTTAAAAAATTCAAAATGATTTGTTCTTCTATAGCAAATAAAACCACTATAAATCTGAAGTTAAAAATGTAAGAAATAAGTAAATACAAAGAAAAACATCATATATGAATTGAAAATCAATGTAACTGAGATAAGCTGTTGTGATACCTGAGTAGTAGTTGCTAAATATTGTTTTTTCATGATAAACAAAATGTATTTATAGCGAAATGGTCTTGAATGAGTTTTAGTAAATAAATAAAAGCAGTGAGTTCTAGTAATGAAACTACCTATTAATCGTTTTCAACAGCTGACACCAACGTAAAGATAAGCCAAAGGTAACAACATTACGCAAAAAATTATTAAAGATTATGCTATGTGTTTTCAGAATAGTTGTATTAAAGGCTAGGCAACACTTAGACCTAAAGCAGAAACATCGCTTGACTGGTAAGGTTGATAAATCTTGCTCTACACGTTTGCCAAGTCACTCCACTTTTAAATCATGGAAACAACATTATATAAACATACATACTAATTATAAAGCACAATATATTTTTTTAATGTTACTTAGCATATAAAAACACCCCATTTAACAATCTTTCACAAATTAGATATTATACATTTCATACTATTATAAAAACACATTTGTATAAACACATTTATAAAACAACTATATAAAGTATATCACCACATACACGTATTTATCAAAAAATTTTAAACTTTGAGCATAATATACATGCAAACTTATATGCAATCTTTTAACAACTTTAAAACAGCATTTATTAGCATCAATTATTTTTAATGTAACAAAGAATGCAGATACAATGCACAACATTGTTTATAAAAATTAAGTTATATCAGTCAGTATATATTAATCTAAAGCCTTCTATATGTATACTTTCCTTAGAGAAAATATACATATAGATATAGAGAAATATAAAATAGACTGAAATAAATCGAAAATTTTAATTTATGTATTAGAAAATAAATTGAACTTACTAAAAAAAGCGATCAGCTCCTTTTACTGTTAAAATGTTTTAAAAAGACTAACGACCAAACTGAAACAGTTTTCTTAAAAAAGAAACATTTTACTAAAAAACTATTTTACCAGTCAATTTAGTTCTAACTTATTTTAAAAAATGAAAAATAAATACATATTTAGATACCTTAAAATAAAGCATAACACAACACCCTTTTGACAAGTTCCAGAAGAAATTTTTTTTGTTTTTCTATTCTCAACTATTTTTGCTAAGAGAAAATACATATAGATATACTTATATATACATAACAAACTAACAATTATTTAAATTTTTATTTTTAAAAATAAACAACATCAATTCTTCTTGAAAATAAGTGTATCAGCTCCAATTTGCTTGCTAATTTTACTCGAAAGACCGCGTGGAATATATAACTGTGCTTAGAAAAGTCTAGAAACAACTTAAAAACTAAGAAACTGTATTTGACATAATGCAGAACCGTAATTAACAAAACAAACAATAGGCGAAACAATCCGTAACTATGCGCACTAATATTCATTGCCGTAATAATATTTAGATTGTCTTCTTTTATCACAGCCGTAGCCACGTTTTTCACATATTCTATATAGCTACTTTCCAGGCATAGTGTGAACTCAGAACATTTTTATTTCAATACAAATGATAATCCTTTACAAAAAATTACAGTAATTTGAGCTTAAGAACAAGAAGAACTTAAATTATGCCCCTCCTCCCCTAAACATAATTTTTTAAACATAATTTTTTGAAAATTGTTCTTCTTGTTTCTAAGCTCAAATAACTGTAACTTTTTTGAAACAAGTTTTGAAAAAACTTTTTTGACACAAGTAATAAAATAGAAATGTTTGGTGGTCACATCATGCCTGGAAAATAACTATATTGAACATTTGAAAACTGGAGCTATAGCTCTGTTCATATTTATTTTCATTTTATATTATAAGTTTAATAAAAATTTTTGCTCTGAAAAGTTTTTTCAAGAAATTAAATTTTTTTAAAAAAACTTTTTTGACAGTTTTGACGATCCTCTTGTAACTTTTAGAAAACTAAAACGACTTTTTGATTGATGACTGTTGACAAAAAAATATATTTTGTATGGATATTTAAGTTTTCAAATACTTAAGTATTTTAAAATACAAAGTTTTTTCAATAAGTTTTTTATAAGTTTCAATAATTTTTTATAAGTTTCAATAATTTTTGCAGTCAATGTTATGATGTGCCAACGTTATGATAGGTAATGAGTCTGATAATATTATGATAGGTAATGAGCTGCAAAGAAAATAAGTCATTTCTAACCATGAAATACTTAAAAAACATTTTTAAACATTTTTACTTTTTTTTTTTGGTATTTGCATTTTTGTTCATTTAATTTTATGTTATAATTTTTATTATTTAATAACTTTTTATGTGTAAATTTATAGTGATTTAATATTACAATAAATAATAAATATGATATTTAAGACTTAAAAATGTTGTCAGCGATAAGTAAAAAATATATAAATCTATAACGCTTGTATGAGAATGTTGCTTGGTTTGCCAATTATAGTTGATTAGTTAGTAAACTTTCCTTGCATAGTATTTTAGAATTTATTTAAATAAGCAAAAATGGCATTTAAGGGGCTGAGTGACATTAGTTCACCATACTATGGCGGTAAATAAATTGAAGCTGCAAGTTTAAATATTTAGTCTATTTTGTACTTGTAAATTAAAAAAATAATTTTTATATTTATATATTTTGTGTTTGTAAATTAAACTTTTGCATTTGTAAATACAATAAAATAAAAACTATGAAAATATATATAAATATAATTATCCTCTTTTATGTTTTAAACAAATATAACATGATGCTTTTCATTGCAAGTTTTGTTTTTGATTTTTTTGTTGCTATCATTTTTGGTGTACTTTAACAGCAAAATTTGTTTACCAGCAGTATTCTTATTCCCTTAATAAATAAAAATAAAAATTTAAAACTGAGTTACCTACCATCTGCATTTTTAAATATATATGCTAGGTAGTTTATTGGGTTCCAACAATCTTATATTAATTTATAGTGGTTAATTTAAAGTTAAAGTGTTGGAACCTTACTAGGGAGAAGGCTAGATTTTTTGCTCCACATTGTCTACAGTAATACTCTTAAGCATGACCATCAACTATGACATTACCATAGAACATGTTGTTTTGTCAAAACAATTAATGAATAGGTATTATGGTTGCCACATATATGTCTATTTCATTATGTGTTCAATTTAATCAGAAAATAGAATCATTGATTTTGTTTTAGGGTTGGACTAAACAAGAAGATGAGTTTCACTTACATCAAGCTCGTCTTCGTTCTTCAATTAGAATTCGCGATGGTCGAGCTAAACCTATTGATTTGCTTGCTGCTTACATAAATCCAATTGAAGATGACTTAGAAATTCAAATGCATGAACCATATGCTGCCCTTGTCGTATGTCGTGTTCTTATAATAGTTTATTTTTAAATTTTATTTGAAGTTTTATTTAAATCAAATATGTTTTTTAAGGGTTTATCAATAGACGATTTAGAGGATGTGATTGAAGATATTAAAATATACATGACAATTGATGATGCCAAAAATAAAGAATTTTGGGAGGTTTGTAATGAAGTCAATAAAGACAATAAACTTATTCTGAAATTGATTCTGGATAGTTGCTTTATTATAGATATGAGTTCTTTAATTTTAGGACATTACAATTGTTGTAAAAGATGAGCTCCAAAAACTTATCAAGAAGCGAAATGAAGGTTATTGTTATCTAAATAGTTATAGTCTAATTTTGATTTATAGGAAATTTGTTTTAAAGATGATAATTAGGGAAGTTTGTGTCCCTAAGGAAAAAAAAAAGTTTAGAATTGATTTTGGAAAAGAAAAAATTGTTTTTTAAATAGAGGAAAAAGTAGGGTACCATGATACACTTTTGGTTTTTGCTTTGTAATTTTTTTTTAACACTTTTTTTTACGCAATATATAAATTAAACTTTTTTAATACAACTTACAAAATTAATTTCATTAATTTGCAAATATTACATAAATTAAATTATATATATATATATATATATATATATATATATATATATATATATATATATATATATATATATATATATATTATATATATATATATAAATATTGAATAAACATAGAAAAAATAATTTCATTAACATTAATTACTAAAATTTAACAATTTAAACTTGTGTGACCATTAAAAGTAAAATTTAAAAAGTGAAATTTGTATTAAGTTATTCCACCAGTGGGGCACCTTGCTACAACCTATGAGAACCATTACAAAAAGTTACCATTAAAATAAAAAGTGTAATACTTGAGAAAAAGGTATTTACTTGATAGACAAAATTAATACTTTCAACTCAAATAATGCATTCAACAGTCCAAAACACATTCAGAGATATAGATAGTATATTGTTTTATATAATATCATTCTTAACCGTCAATAAATAATGGCCTTGTATCAAAAATGTATCTCCTAGTATTTTATTTACATAAATCTTGTAAAAATTGACTGCAAATATTAAAATTAATGATTATGACATAATGGAGTTTTAGTTTACAGTTTTATGGCCAATAAGTATTAATTTACAGTTTTAGGGCCAACCAAAAATGCTGTATTAGGTTGCCTGCTTTATTTTTAGTATCCAATTTTTTTTTTAATAGTTTTTCAATAGTTTTGTTTAATGGATTATAGTTTAAAAATATAGAACTTACCCATAGACACATTGAATAACATACTATAAAACTTAACAACTTTAAAAACTAATGAATTACTTAGTTAATAAAAAACAAATTCATTAGTTGAAAAAAAAAAACACAACACTCAACCCATCCTAATAATATCTTATGATATAATTTTATTTTTCAAAACATAGCTCTTATAGAAACTGGTTTACCATATTAAATGACTGCCACAATTCTTAAGGTGCTTCCACAAATGCAATGTTTCACGGTGCTCCTTGCTCTTTTTTTTTTTTTTTTAAATAAGCTACACTTTCTAAAATTATGATCTCCATCCATTCTTTTTGTGCTATATTATTTGCTTTAAAAACAATTTTTTTTTCCTTTCATAAATTATTGTTTCAATTTGAAAAAAAGAAATTATTTTAATTGTTCAATAAAAAAAATGTTTTAAAAAGCTATTAGTTAGAAGAGTCAGCTTTAGGGTAGTAGAAATCTGAGTAACAGATTGAAAAATACAGAAGTTATGAACTTTAGTGCCAACAGGGTCAGTGGTGCAAGAACAAAGCTATTCAGTGTGATGAGCAATAAAGAGAAATGGGTACTGGTCAATTTAATCAAAAGTTACATCTAAAAGTGTAGTCTTGAGATGAAGGAGAGCGATAAAGAACTAAGAGAAAGGTGATAGAGTGAATAGGTGCTAGGCAGAAGCAGATAAAAGGATGTTTATAGGATTCAAGCCTGATTGATGCATTGGTTCAAGCATGTGACTAATGGAGTTTTTATGAATCAAAGGATAGTTGAAATCAATATTGAGATCCAAAGAAGAAATAGCTAAACTTAAATTAGTCTCATAAAGAGCAAGTAGGTCTGGTGAATTGCAAGAGGTAAGATTCAACTGATGGAAAGACCACAAATATTTGTTAAAGATATATTGAAACAGTTCGGTGGTGGCGATTGTTTTTTATGTTTTAATTTTGGTTACTTTAGGCATGATTTAAGTTAAAGAGAACTTAACTCATTCATCGATAGAACATGGCATCCCAAGCAATGAGGTATGCAGTTGTCTCAGTCCTGCTAGTTAAACCAAGTTCATAACTTAATGCTCCTTATGTGACCTCTACAATGGCAACATAGTATAATTAGTACTCTGATATTTAATCAGAGTATTAACCAAGTAATAGCTAATATCAGATAACTCATCTATTGCCTGTAGTTTTTTACTGAGTTTTCAAAGAAATCTGTTGATTTGACTTTTTTTAAATGAGGTTTGATAAAAATTCTATTTACTATAAATTTCTAAGTTGATAGAAAATTTAAGAAACAAAACTAATAAAAATCCCAAAAGGAAACAAAGAAGTTATTAAATATCAAATGATGAAAAAGGAATAACAATCAAGATGTTTCAGAAAATATAATAATTAAAAATATTTTAATAATTCATTGAACATGAAAATGTTTCATGAAGATATCCAATTAATTGACTGCAGCAACGTTGAAAACAACTTGAGAGTTGAAAATTTTTCAAAAATACTTTTATTATATGGTTCAGATAGAAAATATAATAAATAAAAATACTAACATTGGCACTAAAAACAACTTAAGTGTTAAAGCTAAAAAAAAAATGTTCTAGTCAACTAGCTATAGGCTGAAAGAAAATCAATAAAAAAAAGACAACAGCCCAGAGAGACCAGAAGAACATATTGCAGAACATATTTTTTTACAAAACATTAAACAGCACAACAAAATATATATAAAATAATAAAATGTATACTTGAGTTTGAATCAAATCTATATAGATATTTAGCATTGACTAGATAGATATTTGGCGCATTTTTTTAATGGCATTTTTAAAAGCACAAATCATAAAAAGTGCTTTGAATTTAGTCTTGTGTCTAATAATTAAACAAAAATTAGCAACTTAAGAAAAATATTTATTTTTATTTATTAGATAATAATTTTATTTATTAGACTAATAAACTTAGAAAACAAAATTATTTTTATCAGAAAAATACATTGTTTACTATTTTTCACTTTAATCAGACTTTTTATAGTAAATATTGAACAGTTCATAGGATGAAATCCCAGTTTTTGTATGAAAATTTTGCAATAGTATCCAGTTTTCTTTGTATCATCATCTGTGCTTCTGCCACTGCAGTCTAAAGAGTCTGGCATTATTAATTAGGGACTTTCTACAAAATGTTTTTCTTTTTTTTAATACTGCAGTGTGCTGATTAGAACAACAGTGTTTGACATGGTCACATCGTCTTTTATATGCTTTATATAATTTACAAGTTACTTTTCTTGCAACTGATTCAATTACTATTTTCCCATCATTTTTAATTCTTCACATCTGTGGCATACATCATAAAAAGAATTAACATTTCTTTTTCTAAAATTTTTAAAAGGTTTTTTTCCCTTTTTTTTATGACATAATTCAAAAAAGTTAGTGATTTTTTTTTTTTTAAATGTGTGATTATTTGATTTATGGTTATGAATATAAAAAATATTTAACATTAGTTTATTTATTTGATTTTATTTTTTTTGTGTTTCAGCTTAAGTATACTAAAAAATTTATGTAATAAAGGTAAATAAAAATAATAAATACATCACTGAGATGAGACACTTTTTATACACAATTTATTAAAGCTGACAAGTCCAACATAATAATAAGTAGGAATATATTTTTCAACAACCAACAAATAACTTGAAGAAGGACAAAACTGCATTCTACAATTTTACATATAGACACAGCTGCTGAAACTTGGTGACTGAAAACTTGTGTTGTTAATTTTACTTTCATAGATAAAAAAAGATCCAGGTTCAAAGTGACTGTGACAGCCAAAGTTGACAGACAGTGTCTGTCAACTTTGGAGCAAGTCGAACTGGATTTTGCTTGTCTATATTGTAAAAAGACTGCAAGTATTTCATTGATACAATATCTTAGATGCAAAATAAAAACTGTTAAATCATTCAGTAGTTTTTGTAAATAAAAATTACATCACTGAGATGAGACACTTTTTTTACACAATTTATTAAAGCTGACTAAGTTGTCTGACTAAGAAGTCCAACACAACAAATTCATCCATTAAAAAATTACTTTTTACAAACTTTGGACTATCAATTCATTCACAGGACTTGAAAATTGGTGTGTAAAAGCATGGAAACGATATAAACATCTGAAAGAAAAGCATTTCAAGAAAAATGGATATCTATTTAAACTTTCACAAGCACCAAAATATATTATTTATAAAGTAGAGGATGCTTACATAAAAGAACCACATGTTTCAAAACAAAGAAAATCATTCACAGAAATGGGTGATAAGATGAAAAAGGAAAGGACACAGGAACTTGTCATTTATATATAAAAAACTTTATCACTAATGAATGTGCAGAGTTGTTAACCAGTTCTTGGGTTACCACTTATATAGAGTTAATACACAAAATATTTGGACTGTTGCTCATGTTATCAATGCGTTTTTTTAAAACCATATAGAAACATTAAATACCTTTAACACAGATAAATCCTTTAATGCTTACCCTTACACTAAGTAAGGAGCAAATGAGAAAAATAAAATTTCTTTTTTTCTTAAATAGGAATATATTTTTCAACAACCAACAAATAACTTGAAGAAGGACAAAACTGCATCCTACCATTTTTTTGGATGCAAAATAAAAACTGCTTAATCATTCAGTAGTTTTTGTTTTGCAAAGTATCTACCTATAAATTTTGATATTGAGATTATTTAAAGAGAGCAGATATTAAGTGATTTAATAAAGGATTCCTGATTGATCTATTATAATAAGAAACATGGGTGCTGTACAAAAAACAAGTTAATGAGGATGGTATCATTTCTAATGAAACTGGAGATTTTGCCACGCAAAAAAGGACTGACTAAAAAATCACAAACCAAGTTTTATCAAAAAAGCATATGTAATTCATATTCATATATTGAGCAGTGATAACGCAGTGGTTAGTGCGCTTGCCTTAAAAACTAGAGATCCTTAGTTCTACACCACCTATGGGCAAGTTTTATAACATTGGTAAAATTGGAGTCATTAACTTCCTTTCAAATGCTCTTCCACGGTGCTCTGTGATAAGACTGTAAGGACTTCTTATATATATATCAGACTTGCTGGTTTTTAAACCTACTTTATTGGTGTCACAAGGTTATAGACTTTGGTTTGAAAAAACAAGACCACTTGGTGAACCAATACATAATGCAATAGACAGGGTTGTTTCTAAAATGAAAGAAAACTGGACTGCCATTAGATGTATTGCAACTTGGGTGTGAATGGAAGAACATCTGCAACAGGGTCATCAGTCTGTAGACGTTTTTGAAGAATTATTATCTACTATAAAAGATCTATGTACTCCTATGTACAAAGATATCATGTTGTTTTACCATATTCAAATCAGTGTAATAAGTGTATGTTGACAAGAAAATATACTTTGTATATTTTCTTGACAACATAAATTAAAACCGACAAATTTCCGGAATTGTCTAATGATGCTAAACTTAATATTATTACAAATATGCCATGGACACAAATTACCCACACTTTTCATGGATTTATTTATCACTCAGCTAAATTAATTTTTTTTATTTTATTATTTTTATTTTAATTCACTTCCTCAAGGCTGAGAAAGTTACTACAGATGAGGAGGCTACTTATTTGTGGCTATAACCCTCTCTCAACTCTATAACTCCGAAACACGAACCTTGACGAGCAAGACCGCTGCGTGGAAAAACGAGTTAAGCGCAGTACTACCAGGGATGTGGTGGGGATCGAACTCTGAACCACTCGTTTATGAAGCAAGCGCTCTACCACTACACCACTACCACATTATTATTAATGATGGTTATGACCTTGGCAGTTTATCTGAAAAAGGTCTAGAAGCAAACAATGAAGACATAAGAAACTATTTAAAGCTTCTTTCTTGTAAGACATCTAGAACTGTTTACAGATAAGTCATCTTTTTGAGAGATCTGATCCTGATGTTTAAACTGAATTTTTAGTGTTTTTACTTTTTATCTTCAAATATATATAGCAAAACCAAATCATTAGAACTCTTTCCTTATAATTTTATTATACTAACTTAATTTTAAATCCAAATTTGATCAAATATTTGTTTTTAAGTACTTAACTTATCAATAATTAGTAGGAACCAAGCTCCCAAATTAATTAAAATTTTTGAAGTTTCTTTATTTTAAGTATATCTAATAAATTACTCTTTTAGCTGCCATCTAAAAAAACTTTAACATTTAATATTAATTGAAAAACACTAATTTGTAAAAAATGCTCAAATATGGTAATTTAAACCGAGCTTACAAATTTAGTTTAATATTAGAAATTTAATTTTTTCTATAACCAACAAAAAAAGTTTCTTTCCAAAAACTTGTTGGTAAATTTTCTAGGATTTCTTTAATCATTTGTTATTATTTCTAAAACTTTGCCTTTTGGGTCTACTGTGGTCCACTTTGATCCACACATTCTTATAGTCACTATAGCTTTATGAAAATGATAGGAGACTACATGCAGGTTTGCAACTTTAACTAGAACTGTAAATCAAAATAATCCAGTCATTTCTGATGTTTTTTTCCAACTGTTATGTTTTTGATTTTTTTATTAGTTTTTATAAAGTATAATACAAATATTTTGAGCTGTCATTTTTTTGAAGATATAGTTGATTTTAGTGTTTATACTCTAGACTCAACAAGTTCACGGCGTGATGTTATAAACTCGTCAGTGCAACATGATGTTCAGAACATTTTTCATGGAAAAACTTATGCACAACTTTGTGCACTGCAAAACCAGATTAAACAAAAAATTAATGCAGGAGGTTCAATTGATATTGGTAAAACTCAGTCCTCATTTTACATTTTTTATAGAAATATTATTTTTTACTTGTTTTTAGTTTAGATGAAGACATAGGCTAATCTTTAAACTGCACAAAACAACTTTAAGCTTTATTTTCTTTATATTCTGTTTTTTTCCACAACTTTAGGGTACTGGGAGTCTTTACTAAATCAACTAAAAGGTGTAATGGCAAAAACTCGACTTAAAGAACGTCATCAAAATTTTCTTAAAAAAAAGCTTAATGAACTTAAGATGGAGGTTAAACAAACTTTATTGCTTTTATTTACGTTACCATGTGTATTTTATTAAATATTGATAATAAGCCATTTATTGTTAAACATTTTATGTGATGTTTATATCTTTATTTTATTTTTTTATGTTTTCCTTTTTCATTTTTGTTCTTCAATTTAGTCAACTGCTGTTGGTGTTGACTCTCATCCAAATCAAAGTAAAGTTGAAGATAAGGATGTTTTAGAAGCAAATGAATCAAAGAAATCTGAACAGCATTCAAACTTAGAAGACCCTTCAAAACCAGAAAATCCTGATGAAGAAAAAATTGTTGAAGAAAATGATGTTGAAGAAGGCTTTGAAAAGTTTTTATATTTTTTTTTAATTAATTTTAAATTAATATTTTTGCCCACACAAAAATACAGTTCAATTTTAATAACACTTGAATAAACATTTTTGTTTGCATTTATACTAGAGTGAAGTTAATATTTTATTGTTGCTGTTGCAATTCCTAAAAGTTGTACATTTGTACTAATAGTTTATAAAATGATTATAGTAATTCATTTAGGAGTTCTAACTTTTAATGAAAAAAATGAATAATATTGCCTCATATGTGACCCCCTTTTTCCATTCAGTTCATTTTTCCAGTAATAGAATTGTCAATCTTTTTTAATCTTTATGAAGTGTTAAATTAATGTTTTAGGTGAATAACAACTTTAAAGTCTTTTAACAAAGCACATTATAACATTCACACAACAACTGTGAATGTTATAAACAACATTCAAACTTAAACCTCGAGTCTAATGCATACTTTGAGTATTGTAATGGAGCAGTTTTCATTGCAAAAAAAAGTTAGTTTGAAATTAAACAATCCTAAGATACAAATGGAACTTTATTAGTTATAGTAGGAAAGTAAAAAAATATTTTTGAAATTAAATCTTGAGTTTCCTCTTGGACTCTTAGTTTTTTTTCAAAAAAAGTTTAGTTTTCTAGCAAAAAAAAAAAAATAAAATTAAACAGTCTTGAGACGCAAATGATGTTTTATTAGTTATTATAGGAAAATAAAAAAATATTTTAGGAATTAGCTCTCGAGTTTCGAGTTTCCTTTTTTTTTTTGGACCCAAAATTTTTGATGAGTCATAATATTTGTGAAAAATTGTTTTCAAAATTATGTCAACCTGAAATTCAAAAGAATTATATGCTAATTTTGAAAATATTACTGATTTTTTATTTAAAATTAAGACTATATAGTTTTTTTCTTAAAAAAAAATAAGTTTTTTTTATAAAATGTCTGGAATTTTTTCTTGTCTTTTGAATCTTCAAATATTTTAAATATTTGAAGATTCAAAAGACAAGAAAATTTCAAATATATTAAATATTTTATATCCAACAGATTTTTTGTCAGGAAATTCAAGTAGTATGGTGAAGTAGTAGTAGAGCCCTTGCTTCATAATGAGAAGTTCCGAGTTCAATTCCCAATCGCGCCTCTGATAGTATTGCCCACAAACTTGTTTCTCTGCTCAATGACCTTGTTGGTCAAGGTTCTTGTTTCAGAGTTAAAGAGTTAAGAGAGGGTTTAGGCGTAGCCTGTAAAGTAGCCTCCAAGGTCGTAGTGGCCCTCTAGGCCTTAGGAAAATGAATGAAATTAAGTCAGTCAAATTCCTGCAAGTCTAATATTTTAGTAAAAAATTTCTTAAACTTCTAAATATGTTTTTATGTTTCTGTTTTTTTGACAACTCTTTTAACATATTTTTTAACAACATAATAAGCTCCTGGTTTTGATGTTGCATTTTTTTAAGCTTTCTGTTAACAAGTGAAGTTTTCTAGATAAAAAAAATCTAAGATTTCAATAAATTCAGTCTTTTGTATTTTTAATTTTTTCTGAAAACAGAAAGTGTTATTTCACTTAAACTGATGCTAATATTATATCACTAATACCTAAATTTTTCATTGAAATTTATTTCAGAGCAGAAATTCAAAGACTTTCTGCTGCAGAGCTACGACAAAAAGGTAGTTTTTTTTTGTTTTTTTTTATATTATTTTTTAAATAAACATTTTGTGCAAGTAATAGAGTAAAATAATTTTTTAAAGAATGTTTTTTGTTTGAAGGTTTTTTATAGTTTTATTTATAGATTTTTAAGTATTCATAGAAATAATATATAAAGCATCATCAATATAATAAAACTTTACTCCCCTTTTCAAATAGAGTAATTTTCAAATAGAGTAATCCTGGACCATAAACTATTTCAAAGATAAAGACCTACTAAGTTATTAATCTCTGTTAGGTCTTAGACAAAAGTTTGTTCTGCTAAACAATAAAATTCTTTACATGTGTATTACAACTTAAATTGCAGTAACTGCAATTTAGAGAATTAAAAAAGACAAGGCCATAGTAATAAAAAAAAAAAAGCTCAGAATTTTTTTATTTTACAAACTGCATACTCTTTGCAAATAAGCAGGAAATAAAAACAAATTACAAAAGAAGTGGAGAAACTGTAAATAAAAAAAAAATTGCTTCAATATTAGCTTCAATTATTTGATAATTTGTACATACATCTGTGGTTTTTTGTTTTTGTATATAAAATACAAAAAAAGTCAAAGATTAAATGAAAAATTGTAAAACATTAAAATTTTACGATCTCACAACCAAGCAATGCAACTTATGCTTCTATGAAAGATATATAATATTATCATACAACAATGAAAACTTATTAAATATAACAAATAAAATGGTATCCAAATTGGAATTTAAATATAGACCTTACAAATTCTACTTTCAAAGTATAGTATGGGTGATGAACAGTATTAGGCAGCCATTATCATGTTTTTCTTTTTTCTTTTTTTTTTTATCATGTTTTTCTTTTTCTTTTTTTTTTATCTACTTTGCTTTGTTTTGATGACCACACCGCTGTAACTTTATATTTTTATACAGTTTTTTTTGTTTCTTGTTTTGTATTACATGGGTGATGATTGCCTTTAAACATGAAATATTTAGTACCATAAAAAGTTCTATTTTTTTTGTTCAAAAATAAGTATATATATATATATATATATATATATATATATATATATATATATATATATATATATATATATATATATATATATATATATATATATATATATATTTATTTATATATATATTTATATATTTATATACTTAAATTTAGAAAAAAAAACTTTAAATGGAATTTAAAGTTTCATGCCTATCAGCAATCATCAGCCATGAAGTGCAAAATCAAAAATATAAAAAACCATTTCAAAATTACAAATTACGAAAGAATGAGTTCTGACATTATAGTACAAGAAGATGTAATGGAAAACTTTATTTTTGTGTCTTCATTTAGAAACTAATTCACTTCTTTTGTTTAGCAGGTTGTCTCCTTTGTAAAATAATATTTTAAATTTCTTGTTTAAACAAAGTTTACAAATTTTTGACACAGGATTGTATGGTTTACAGCGTTTAATAATATTCCATTTGATTGAAAAATTGTTTTCTTTTAACTACTATACTTCCTTAGATAACTCAGTGTCGTTCTTGTACATTTTTATGTTAAAGGATTTTTGATGGTTTGCATAACATAGCTTAAAAGAGGTTTCGCTTATCCCAATGTATACTTTATCTTTGTATTGAGGTTTATTTCAGCCTATGGTGGCTTGATAAACAATGTTGTTTTTCTGATAATTTTGCATCACCATATAAAATATTTTGTTGATGATAGATTTAATGTTTGGTTTGCAGGAGTAGCAAACATCTTAATTGTGTTTTTTTTAATATATTTTGTGTAGGTTGTGGTCTTTAGGAAAATGCTTGTCAATTAGGGTTAAAAAGCGTTGACCAATTTTGGTTGTATCATTTTTACTAAATGGAGGATAGTACCAGATTATATTTCGTTTGTGGTTATTTTTTGGAATATTTTTTATGCTTGGTTTATATGCCAACTTATAAGTGTATCCCGATTGCTTCAATTTGGTTTATATGCCAACTTGGTTTATATGCCAACTTATAAGTGTATCCCGATTGCTTCAATTTGCCTTCATAAAGATGTGTCAATTTATTGAAAACAACTTCACTGGATGAGTTAGCGGATAATCTTAGCTCGATATTTTTTGGAAGACCATTTATTATGTTAGGTGGATAGTTAGAATCAGCATGTACATAACTTAGTTTATTATCAAGCTTGCAATATGGTTGGATTGAATTTTGAGTAAGAATAAAAGTTAAATCAAGGTAGTTAACAATTTTAACATTGCAATTGATAGAGATGTTGAGATTGTTACATTTAAAAACTTGAACAACATGCTTTTTTATTTGTTCCATTTGATGGCCATTTTTGTTCTTAAAAACAGCTAACCCGTCATCTCAATATAAACCAAAATCATTTTTGTTGTAAAACTGCGAAAGTTGATCTAAAATAAAAATCTCAACTAGTTCGCAAACTTCCGCGCCATCATAGGCTCCCATGGTAACATCAAACAATCCTGCTTTTTTCTTAATCCATGATATGCCACCGTTAAAAATGAAAGTTTTTCTTGCATGACATATAATGGATTTGCTTTGCACGTTTATTGTTATATGTTGCTCAGTGAAAGTTATTGCATTATTAAGTATGTTTTCATCAATTGACGAATGAAAATCATTTATTTTAAATATTAAAAATTTACAAAGATATTTATCATCAATTTTATGGAATCATTTGATTACATTCTGTGTATTTTGCCATTGGTTTAAACAGAGCCTGGTTCTTAATTCCAAGTTGATATTGGATAAAATAAACTTTGACAGTCTAATAAAATCTATCATCAACTCACACAACAAAAATATTTTATATGGTGATGCAAAATTATTAGAAAAAGCCTGCTATTACATTAAAAAATCTCTTTGTCTACTGAATAACAATTGCATGTCTAACAACATCGATTATCAAGCCACCGTAAGCTCAAATAAACCTCAATACAAAGATAAAGTATACATTGGGATAAGCGAAACCTCTTTTAAGCTACGTTATACAAAAGTCCTTTAACATAAAAAAGTACAAGAACGACACTAAGTTATCTAAGGAAGTATGGGAATTAAAAGAAAACAGTTTTTCAATCAAATGGAATATTATCAAATGCTGTAAACCATACAATCCTGTGTCAAAAATTTGTAAACTTTGTTTAAACAAGAAATTTGAAATATTATTTTACAAAGGAGACAACCTGCTAAACAAAAGAGGTGAATTAGTTTCTAAATGTAGACACAAAAATAAATTTCTCCCTTCATTATTTGATAGCAGATATTAGTTTTCCATTACATCCTCTTGTACTATAACATCAAAACTCATTCTACCGTAGTTTGTAATTTTTAAATGGTTTTTTATATTTTTGATTTTGTACTTCATGGCTGATGATTGCCGATAGACATGAAACTTTAAGTCCCATTAAAAGTTGTTTTTTCTAAATTTAAGTATAAAATGCTCTGTTTTTGAAAAAATATATATTTCTTAAATATTGAACACTTTATAACAATCAAGAGTTTAGTATTTTTAGTACTAAATCATACAACAACTATATATATATATATATATATATATATATATATATATATATATATATATATATATATATATATATATATATATATATATATATATATATATATATATATATATATATATATATATATATATATATATATATATTCTTATAGAGTAGTCGAAAGAGTCTTTTAATGTAAAAAAAGTCTTTTTCGACTACAATTTTAATTACCTCGTCTCTTAAGCTGTATTTGATTGTCGTCAAAATGTCAAAGCAATTAAATTAATGCGGAAGTACATTAAATTTTGTTTTTAAAAAAATTTTAAAAAACCGCAATAATAACGACTAGAAAGTTTTTTTTAATTAGTAGTGTTTTTGTTTTTGTTTTATTAAAAAACATTTTGTAAATCATGCGTAATTGTTGCTATATCGACTATCTTATAGCCTGCTGCTACAAGGGAGTGTTTCTACATCGACTATCTTATAGCCTGACTCACAATGGAGTGCTGCTACATCGACTGACAAAT